ACAACCTTGGAGGATTTCACACTAAACAGCGAATCATCTCAGCCTTTGGAGTCCTGACTCAGACAGAAAAAAAGGGCAGACATTACCTCTCATCTGGCAGCCTTTCCCCAAAGAACCTGATTCCCAAGTTTTTTCTCATTTTCCTTATCTGAAATACAAAGGCCCCAGAACGTGATTTTGTTCAAGAATCGGATGTATTGCTGAGTCTGCTCAGTGAAGGGTGGGCTTTTTATTTTACGCTGAATAACAACACTGGCAAAAATGATAATAATAATAATAATAATAATAATTAATAACAATAAATGCTTTCTTCCTTGTTTCCTCACTTATTGACTAAGCATCTATTACCAGACACATCATAGACTTACTGTCTTAAGAAAGAGGCTATCTTAGTGTGGGATGCCTCAGAAGCAAATACTGAGACAAGGATTCCAGTGCCAATAGTTTATTTTGGAGGTTCAGGAAACTGAGGAGTAGACAGGAGATATAGGGAAGGGAAGACAATCAGCAAAGGGTGTTCTATTAAGCCAGATGCCATACTAAACAACACAGTGAACTGAAGCTTAAACCTATAAGAGACTGAGAAAATATGTAAAACACACATCTCAGGATTATTCCTCCCAAGGGAAAGGGAGCTAGGGTATTTATATACCAATTTTAGAGGATCATTGGTTGAGAGCTTCTGGAAGAGGCTGTTAATTCCTTGGCACTTCAGCCTGCTGCATAGTAGCCTTCAGTTTCCAAGAAAAGCTCTCAGAACCTGAGATACAGAAGTTGGCTGAATTCCCTAAAATCATAGAATGAGAGGGATATAGGTGGGGCCCTGAAAATATCTGCTATAGAAAAAAAAATTAATTAAATATTAACTCAGGAAAACCCATAAAATGACAACAATGATACAGATTCTAAGGAGAGATGCATTTAGTGGAAATCTGTTCTGGTTAGGTTTATTTTAATAAAAGCTTTACATATGCAATTTATTGAATCTTTTAAAACTCCATGAGATTGAATAACTTGCCAGTATGGGGCAGAGCCAAGACTTGAATCTAGGGTTCTATGTTGGAAACCGATGCTTAGTTGCCTACTTTGTTTTATCCACATATATACTTGTCTTCTCTTGGCAATATGTAGAGTGAAAAGAGCAGACAACTGTGGTCAGAGAGAATTAAATAACAATGTAGATACACCCCAAGGGAAACCTTCTTTCAACTAAATGCAAACCTAACCTGCCATCTTTGCATTCCAATTATTGTATTTTAAAAATAGTGGCTGTGCACATATTACAAAGGTGGAGAGGAGCCAGAGTACTTCCAGGGGATAAGAAATCATCATTTTTGCCTCTATGTCTTTCCATGAACTCTTAGAGCACATCCCCAACCCCCAAATGCCTAGAAAGCTAATAGAAGTATTTGGCCACAATTCCAAGGATTGCTGATTTTTATTTCATGAGCTGAACACAATTTTTCATGACTGATTATGAACTGGGTTCCAATGTTGTTATTATATAACCAACAAAATATTCGGTAACAATGTATCCAAAGAAGTATAGTGCCAGAGAATTAAGGCCAAGTGGAATGTCATGTTTCATAGTAAAAATAAATCCATCTCTGGACATGGACATTTCAAGAGAACAAAAATTTGGTTTGGATGTTACCCCAAACTGGATATCTTAATGGACATAAAGGAGATACTTAATGGATTTTTTCCTGGATAAAAAATGATCAGCTAAGAGTTAATTAGAGATTTCAACCCATGGGAAGGGCAGCTTGAAGAGAACCAAGGTCATTCATGCCTGTTTGTCTATGAACAGACAACAGCTTAGTTGTCTAAATGTTGTATTGCTTGTTTTAAATTCAGCAAGTGTTTACTGTGTGTCCAAGTTTTTCTTAAAGCTAACTTATCATCTTGCTCAGGTGGTACTGAGGACTTTGAGATTAGCATCAAATGCTCGTTATTTGCAATGTTTTTATTTGAAAGTAGCAAGAAATTATGACTAGTTTTTGACAAGCTGCATCCTACATTCAGCTGTATGATTTTTTAAAAATAGTACATGGAATAGGCTTGAGAAGACCTAAGTTTGACTGACTCCCCTATTTGTAGCCTATATGAATTTTAAAAGAGCACTTTCATCTTTAGGCTTTGTTTCTTCATCTGGATATATGATGGTGAAACTAGGAGGTCTCTAAACTCACTTCCTCTAAAAGTTTGTGAGACTTATTTCTTTCCTACCTTTTCCTTCTCTGACTCCCTTAGGCCGTGGTATACAGAATAGACTGCATAAGGAAAAGAAGAGGCTAGGCTGCCTGACGTGCTGATGCAGGTGTGAACTGATGACAATGGGAAAGGAGATAAAAGAGAGATCAAAGGGAAGTTTAGAAAGCAGAATCAGATAGCTGGTGTGTATATGTGTGTGGCTTAAGGGTAGGGAGGTGGGTGGGTGGTACCTTTCCAAAGAGATATGGGAGACAGGAAGCAAGTTATCTTTAGAAGAAAAGGTGATGTGTTAAGTCCTGGGAGTACATGAGTCTGGCTTTCTTACTAAGCTTCAGGAAAGTCACTCAACCACCAGGAACTTTATTTTCCAGATTTTCTATAAAGTAGAAATAAGATTAGAAAAGAACCTGAGACTCTAGGAAGATGGCGGTGTAGGAGGACGCTGGGCTCACCGCGTCCTGCTGATCACTTAGATTCCACCCACACCTGCCTAAATAACCCAGAAAACCACCAGAAGACTAGCAGAACAGATTCTCCAGAGCCAAGCATAGACGAGAAGCCCACGGAAGAGGGTAGGAAGGGCGGAGAGGCGGTGCACATTACACGGACTGGCGGAAGGGAGCTGGGGTGGAGGGGCAGCCTCCACCTTCCAAGCAGAGCCCCCGAGTCTGGCTTGCAAAAGCGGAGGGGTGAGAAGGAGTGTGTTAGGACAGCAAATGGGACGTAACATCTGGAAGGTTGTAAGCTAACAGCTCTGCTTGGAAACCAGGAGGGCTGGAAGACAATGGGAGGGAGAGTTGTTGAGCCCCGGATGACAGAGCTCAGCTTGGTGGGGAACAAAGGTGCTTGCCAGCGCCATCTCCCTCGCCCATCCCCCAGCCAAAATCCCGAAGGGAACCAGTTCCTGCTAGGGAACTTGCTTGCACCGCGCAAACACCCAACACTGTGCTTCTGCGGATCCATCACTCCAGCAGCAGGTCTGACTCCCGCCCAGTGCCACAGATCCCCTCCCAAAGCAGATCACCAAAGGAAAAGCGAGCTGAGCCTCCCCCACCCCCACTCCCCTGCACCTTGCCGATCCACCCCAGCTAATACGCCAGATCCCCAGCACCACAAGTCTGGCAGTGTGCAAGTAGCCCAGATGGGCCATGCCACCCCACAGTGAATCCCTCTCCTAGGAGAGGGGAAGAGAAGGTACACACCAGTCTGACTGTGACCCCAGTGGTGGGCTGAGGGCAGACATCAGGACTGACTGTGCCCTGCCCACCAACGCAAGTTATTCAAGACACCACAGGGGAAGTGCCCCGCAGTTCCACACCACTCCAGGGACTATCCAAAATGATGAAACGGAAGAATCCCCCTCAAAAGAATCTCCAGGAAATAGCAACACCTAACAAACTGGTCAAAAATGATTTAAACAATATAACAGAGAGTGAATTTAGAATAATAGTCATAAAATTAATTGTTGGGCTTGAAAACAGTACAGAGAACAGCAGAGAATCTATTGCTACAGAGACCAAGGGACTAAGGAACAGCCAGGAGGAGCTAAAAAATGCCATTAACGAGCTGCAAAATAAAATAGAGATGACCACAGTTCGGATTGAAGAGGCAAAGGAGAGAATAGGTGAACTAGAAGGTAAAATTAAGGAAAAAGAAGAAGCTGAGAAAAAGAGAGATAAAAAAATCCAGGAGTATGAGGGGAAAATTAGAGAACTAAGTGATACACTAAAGAGAAATAATATACGCATAATTGGTATTACAGAGGAGGAAGAGAGAGGGAAAGGTGCTGAAGGTGTACTTGAAGAAATAATAGCTGAGACCTTCCCTGATCTGGGGAAGGAAAAAGGCATTGAAATCCAAGAGGCACAGAGAACTCCCTTCAGACGTAACTTGAATCGATCTTCTGCATGACATATCGTAGTGAAACTGGCAAAACACAAGGATAAAGAGAAAATTCTGACAGCAGCTAGAGATAAACGTGCTCTAACATATAAAGGGAGACCTGTAAGACTCGTGACCGATCTCTCTGCTGAAACTTGGCAGGCCAGAAAGGAATGGCAGGAGATCTTCAATGTGATGAACAGAAAAAATATGCAGCCGAGAATCCTTTATCCAGCAAGTCTGTCATTCAGAATAGAAGGAGAGATAAAGGTCTTCCCAAACAAACAAAAACTGAAGGAATTCGTCACCACTAAACCAGCCCTACAAGAGATCCTAAGTGGGATCCTGTGACACAAAGTACCAGAGACATCACTACAAGCATGAAACCTACAGACATCACAAGGACTCTAAACCCATATCTTTCTATAATAACACTGAATGTAAATGGACTAAATGCTCCAACGAAAAGACATAGGGTATCAGAATGGGTAAAAAAAAAAAAGACCCATCTATTTGGTGTCTATAAGAGACTCATTTTAGATCTGTGGACACTTTCAGATTGAAAGTGAGGGGATGGAGAGCTATGTATCATGCTACTGGAAGTCAAAAGAGACCTGGAGTAGCCATACTTATATCAGACAAACTAGACTTTCAATTAAAGGCTGTAACAAGATAGGAAGAAGGGCATTATATAATAATTACAGGGTCTATCCATCAGGAAGAGCTAACAATTATAAATGTCTATGCGCTGAATACCAGAGCGCCCAAATATATAAAACAATTACTCACAAACATAAGTAACCTTATAGACAAGACAGTGGTAATTGCAGGGGACTTTAACACCCCACTTACAACAATGGACAGATCATCTAGCAGACGGTCAATAAAGAAACAAGGGTCCTGAATGATACATTGGATCAGATGGACTTGACAGTTATATTTAGAACTCTGCATCCCAAAGCAACAGAATATACTTTCTTCTTGAGTGCACATGGAACATTCTCCAAGATCGATCACATACGGGGTCACAAAACAGCCGTTCATAAGTATACAAGAATTGAAATCATACCATGCATACTTTCAGACCACAATGCTATGAAGCTTGAAATCAACCACAGGAAAGAGTCGGGAAACCCTCCAAAAGCATGGAGGTTAAAGAACACCCTACTAAAATAATGAAGTGGTCAACCAGACAATTAGAGAAGAAATTTAAAAATACATGGAAACTAACGAAAATGAAAATACAAGAATCCAAACACTTTGGGATGTATTGAAGACAGTCCTGAGAGGAAAATATATTGCAATCCAGGCCTATCTTAAGAAACAAGAAAAATCCCAAATACAAAATCTAACAGCACACCTAAAGGAAATAGAAACAGAACAGCAAAGACAGCCTAAACCCAGAAGAAGAAGAGAAATAATAACAATTAGGGCAGAAATAAACAATATAGAATCTAAAAAAAACAAAAACAAAAACAAAAAACTGTAGAGCAGATCAACGAAACCAAGAGTTGGTTTTTTGAAAAAATAAACAAAATTGACAAACCTCTAGCCAGGCTTCTCAAAAAGAAAAGGGAGATGACCCAAATAGATAATATCATGAATGAAAATGGAATTATTACAACCAATCGCTCAGAGATACAAGCAATTATCAGGGATTACTGTGAAAAACTATATGCCAACAAACTGGACAACCTGGAAAAAGTGGACAAATTCCTAAACACCCACACACTTCCAAAACTCAATCAGGAGGAAAGAGAAAGCTTGAACAGACCCATAACCAGCAAATAAATTGAATCAGTCATCAAAAACCTCCCAAGAAATAAGAGTCCAGGACCAGATGGCTTCCCAGAGGAGTTCTACCAGACATTTAAAGCAGAGATAATACCTATTCTTCTCAAGGTATTCCAAACTAAAGAAAGGGAAGGAAAACTCCCAGACTCATTCTATGAAGCCAGTATTACTTTGATTCCTAAACCAGACAGAGATCCAGGAAAAAAAGAGAACTACAGGCCAATATCCCTGATGAATATGGATGCAAAAATTCTCAATAAGATACTAGCAAATCGAATTCAACGGCATATAAAAAGAATTATTCACCATGATCAAGTGGGATTCATTTCTGGGATGCAGGGCTGGTTCAATATTTGCAAATCAATCAACGTGATACATCACATTAATAAAAGACAAGAACCATATGATCCTGTCAATCGATGCAGAAAAAGCAGTTGACAAAATTCAGCATCCTTTCTTAATAAAAACCCTCAAGAAAGTCGGGATAGAAGGAACATACTTAAGATCATAAAGGCCATTTATGAAAAGCCCACAGCTAACATCATCCCCAATGGGGAAAAACTGAGAGCTTTTTCCCTGAGATCAGGAACATGACAGGGATGTCCACTCTCACCGCTGTTGTTTAACATAGTGTTGGAAGTTCTAGCATCAGCAATCAGACAACAAAAGGAAATCAAAGGCATCAAAATTGGCAAAGATAAAGTTAAACTTTCACTTTTTGCAGATGACAAGATATTATACATGGAAAATCCGATAGACTCCACCAAAAGTCTGCTAGAACTGATACATGAATTTAGCAAAGTTGCAGGATACAAAATCAACGTACAGAAATCAGTTGCACTCTTATACACTAATAGTGAAGCAACAGAAAGACAAATAAAGAAACTGATCCCATTCACAAATGTACCAAGAAGCATAAAATACCTAGGAATAAACCTAACCAAAGATGTAAAAGATCTGTATGCTGAAAGCTATAGAAAGCTTATGAAGGAAATTGAAGAAGATATAAAGAAATGGAAAAAAATTCCGTGCTCATGGGTTGGAAGAATAAATATTGTCAAAATGTCAATACTACCCAAAGCTATCTACACATTCAATGCAATCCCAATCAAAATTGCACCAGATTTCTTCTCGAAACTAGAACAAGCAATCACAAAATTCATATGGAACCACGAAAGGCCCCGAATAGCCAAAATAATTTTGAAGAAGAAGACCAAAGCAGGAGGCATCACAATCCCAGACTTTAGCCTCTACTACAAAGCTGTCATCATCAAGACAGCATGGTATTGGCACAAAAACAGACACATAGACCAATGGAATAGAATAGAAACCCCAGAACTAGACCCACAAACGTATGGCCAACTAATCTTTGACAAAGCAGGAAAGAACATCCAATGGAAAAAAGACAGTCTCTTTAACAAATGGTGCTGGGAGAACTGGACAGCAACGTGCAGAAGAATGAAACTAGACCACTTTCTCACACCATTCACCAAAATAAACTCAAAATGGATAAAGGACCTGAATGTGAGACAGGAAACCATCAAAACCCTAGAGGAGAAAGCAGAAAAAGACCTCTCTGACCTCAGCTGTAGCAATTTCTTACTTGACACATCCCCAAAGGAAAGGGAATTAAAAGCAAAAATGAACTACTGGGACCTTATGAAGATAAAAATCTTCTGCACTGCAAAGGAAACAACCAACAAAAGTAAACGGCAACCAACGGAATGGGAAAAGATATTTGCAAATGAAATATCGGACAAAGGGCTAGTATCCAAAATCTATAAAGAGCTCACCAAACTCCACACTCGAAAAACAAATAACCCAGTGAAGACATGGGCAGAAAACATGAATAGACACTTCTCAAAAGAAGACATCCGGATGGCCAACAGACACATGAAAAGATGCTCAACGTCGCTCCACATCAGGGAAATACAAATCAAAACCACACTCAGATATCACCTCACGCCAGTCAGAGTGGCCAAAATGAACAAATCAGGAGACTATAGATGCTGGAGAGGATGTGGAGAAACAGGAACCCTCTTGCACTGTTGGTGGGAATGCAAACTGGTTCAGCTGCTCTGGAGAACAGTGTGGAGGTTCCTCAAAAAATTAAAAATAGACCTACCCTATGACCCAGCAATAGCACTGCTAGGAATTTACCAAAGGGATACAGGAGTACTGATGGATAGGGGCACTTGTACCCCAATGTTTATAGCAGCACTCTCCACAATAGCCAAATTATGGAAAGAGCCTAAATGTCCATCAACTGATGAATGGATAAAGAAATTGTGGTATATATATACAATGGAGTACTACGTGGCAATGAGAAAGAATGAAATATGGCCCTTTGTAGCAACGTGGATGGAACTGGAGAGTGTGATGCTAAGTGAAATAAGCCATACAGAGAAAGACAGATACTGGTTTTCACTCTTATGTGGACCCTGAGAAACTTAACAGAAACCCATGGGGGAGAGGAACGAAAAAAAAAAGAGAGAGAGTGGTTAGAGTGGGAGAGCCAAAGCATAAGAGACTCTTAAAAACTGAGAACAAACTGAGGTTTGATGGGGGGTGGGAGGGAGGGGAGGGTGGGTGATGAGTATTGAAGAGGGCATCTTTCGGGATGAGCACTGGGTGTTGTATGGAAACCAATTTGACAATAAACTTCATATATTTAAAAAATAGAAAAGTACCTACATTTTGTAAGGATTATATTTCACTTTATGTGAGAATGCTATACAAACCAGCAATATTCTTCAGGTATGAAGGTTTATTTTTATTACAGTGTGAACTTCAGTCTGTTCAGTGTGGGAGGATCAAGTCAGGAGACTAGAATTTGAGTCTAGTGTTTGCCTCTTGCTAGTAGTTGCCTAGTACTGGGGTAAGACAGCGTCCATTTGGGGATTTAATTTACTCCCTTACCACCACCCTTCTCCCATCTGCATAATGAATGTCCTGGCAATATATGGTCTGAGTGTGACTTGAGTATATATATTATGCTTGAATCACAGTTTTTTAAAAAGCAAATTATTTGGCAACATTAAAGACTGGTTTCATCTTGAATCGCCATTCCTGCATGCAGTGTTCAGCTGACAGTAGGTGGAAGCTTCTCACATAGGCAGGGCCTCCATTGCAGCCTGGTACCCACCACTCCCACTGTGCCTGCTCCCTGAAGTTGGGAGTCATTGTTTATTTTTCATTGTACTTGTGCTGCTTCTCTCCTCACTCCTGACCCCTTCACTAATTCATGTTACCTTCCTGGCTTTGCATGTTTTTGGATTTGTGAACCTCTAAATATATGGTCTTGTCTAAAGTCACAACTGTCTTTTAAAATTCTGCAATTCTGTCTCTAAAGATCCTACAGCTGGCTTCTTACAGAATTGGAATCTCTGAAAATAGTCCAATGCCACGTTTCTGAAGTGAATGACTGCTTCCTGATGATGCTCCATCAAAAGTCACTTGTTTCACTTACATAGGTGGCTAGTTTAAAGCACAGAATATAGAGGAATAAGCTAGATAGGCCCTTCACTTATATTCTCCATTCTTTTTAAACCAAACAGCTCTAACTTAACCTGGTTTTGGTGGAAGAAGGAATTTATGGAGATACATGATGACCAAAAACACTAGAGTCAGTTGAACTCTTGATCCAGAGGCTCAAAAAATGTCACTGAACTCAGTTTCTCTCCATTTCTTGGCCATTATTTTCAACTTGGCTACATGATCAAACTCTACAAATGGCAATATGGCTACCAAATCCCTTATTGTTTAAGGTTCAAGCCTAGTGGAAAAAAGAGGATGTCTTTCTTCCTAAAAGACACACTAAAGTACCATCGTCTTTCTCTGGCCCTGACTAAATCAGGTGTCTGTCTTTTAATCAATTGCCATGGCCTGGGGGAATGTGATGTACTGGCTGGTCAGTCCTGTTTCCCATGCTTCCTCCTGCAGCCAAGTCAATTCCACCTATCGTTCACGGACTGAGAGTGGGAAGAGGTTGTTTCCTAGAGGAAATTTTTTGGCAGAATTATTCCAAGAAGAGAGAATGGGTGTTATATGGATGTTGTGTATCAAAACCAATATATATCCTGCCACTATATATGAGTCTTCTGCCTAGAAAAAGTGCTCAGAAGATTGCAAGTACTTAGAAACAACTGTCCTTAAAAGTGAGGGAATCATAGCACTTGAATCACTAGCAAAGCATTAAGTTATTCATAATAGATATAAAATTGTTAAAAATTTAGTAAGCCATTTTTAAGTAGCACCAAATGAACTTTTTGATATTAGGAAAACTGAGAGATATTTTTAATGTTTCATTTTTCAGCAGATTGTTTTGACAGGTGTTGATAGCCATGGAGTTGACTTCCTTTAGAGAGATTTCACATAAAAGATAGTGATGAAGATGGTAGCACAATATTTGACATAGCCCTCAATGAATGTTAAATTCTCTATGCCTCATATGCACACATACTTTCACTCACTAATTTATACATTTAATGAAAGTTCATTTTGGACACTTAATCTTTGTCAGGCATTATTCTAGGGCCATCTCTTCTGTGAAGAGATAGATAGTAAATATTTTAGGCTTTGAAGCTATACATTATCTCCACCACATATTCTTCTTCTTCTTTTCTCCCAGCTACTTAAAAATGTAAAAACAATTCTTAGTTATTGAGTCATAGAAAACAACAGGCAGTGGGTTGGATTTGGTGTGCAAGTATAGCTACTGGCCACACCTAAACTCTAGATGGTATGGATTCTTTACTGAATAAAACATGAAAATCTCTGCCCTTATGACATCTCAATTCTAGTGTAAATTTAATTCTTAGAAAAATATTAACATAGATATCATATTAGCATTTTTTTTAGAAATAAGGGAAAAAACAAGTAATTTGTCCCAAATCACAAAGCTTGTAAGAAGAAGAGCTGGGCTATAAACCAAGCTGAGACTCCAAAGATTACACTTCTAACCCTTGTGTTTTACTCTTGTCACTTGCTGTACCTTTCTCCATGGTGAACCTGGAACATCTGGCTTCAAGTCAATTAATTAAGCACAGATAATGGAGAAATTATGTGTGTGAGGCACTGTCCTAAGCGCTGAGGAATTATGGTAAACAAGACCTCTGTGATTTTGCATATGGGTTGTTTTTGATACCTTAAAGAGTGACAGAAATGTCTAGGAAGATCTTTGAAAGACAAAGAGCCAGGGCTAAATCCTGAGGAACTTTGATATGTAAATCTGGGTGGAGAAGATTGTGCACCTAAGAGAAAGAGACTGAGAAATCATAGAAAAGCCAGCCACAGTCACAGAAGCTAGGGGAAAATGGCAAAAGTTTCCAAAAGGCCATGCGAATGGGGACTAAAATGTAGCCACTGGACTTAGAAACATGGAAGGAAGCCCGTAGTGCCTTTGGTACAGGTTCTTTTGGTAGAGTTGTGATAATAAGGACAGTTTTTAGTAGATCAAGGAGAGAATAGGGGTGACAGGAGATGCGAGTAGTGTATGTAGACACCTCAAATCCTTTTGAAGATAGATTGTGAAGGGGAGGAGAAGAATAGGACAAGTGCCAAAGGGGAAGGTGTATAGTTTGTTTGTTTGTTTGTTTGTTTGTTTGTTTTAATATGAGAGAGACTAAAGCATTTTTTAATGTTTATAGGATGTATACAAAGAAGGGGATGATGAAGATACAGGAGGGGTGGAGAACAGTGGAGTCAGTGGGGTCCTTTAGACAGTGAAAGAGTTGAGGTTCATAGCACAAGCTCAGGAGTAGGCCTTTCATATTTATGAGGAAGGACTTCTTCCTCAGTTGAAAGAGAACAGAAAGAGAGGCACTGATGCAGTAAGGCTTATAGATTTGGTAGATGGGAGATGAGAGAATTTCCATCTAATGGCTTCTATTTTTTTTCCTGAGAATGACATATTTCTCTAAAATCAAGGGTTATTTCTCCTGGGCCCAGATGTCTGAAAGGATTTAGTTCAACTTGCATAAGGTAAGAGAAAGAGACACCAAGACAAACACATGCAAATTGTCAACTACTCTTATTCTCTGCTGGAAATAATCCTCCTCATGAGTTTGGCGGCTTGTTATTAAAAAAAAGAAAGACCTCTTTTTTTTTTCCTTCCCCTCCCCCATGGGTTCCTGTTAAGTTTCTCAGGATCCACATAAGAGTGAAACCATATGGTATCTGTCTTTCTCTGTATGGCTTATTTCACTTAGCATCACACTCTCCAGTTCCATCCACGTTGCTACAAAAGGCCATAGTTCATTTTTTCTCATTGCCATGTAGTATTCCATAGTGTATATAAACCACAATTTCTTTATCCATTCATCAGTTGATGGACATTTAGGCTCTTTCCATAATTTGGCTATTGTTGAGAGTGCTGCTATGAACATTGGGGTACAAGTGCCCCTATGCATCAGTACTCCTGTGTCCCTTGGAGAGGTTAGAGTGGGAGAGAGCCAAAGCATAAGAGACTGTTGAGAACTGAGAGCAAACTGAGGGTTGATGGGGGGTGGGAGGGAGGAGAGGGTGGGTGATGGGTATTGAGGAGGGCACCTTTTGGGATGAGCACTGGGTGTTGTATGGAAACCAATTTGACAATAAATTTCATATATAAATAAAAAAAGAAAGAAAGAAAAAATATGATCAAAGCATGGTATGCTCATGTCATAGGACTAAATAGGCTGACAGCACTTAGAATGTTTACATTGTTGGGGCGCCTGGGTGACTCAGTCGGTTAAGTGTCTGACTTCAGCTCAGGTCATGATCTCACAGTTTGTGAGTTCAAGCCCCACATTGGGCTCTGTGCTGACAGCTAAGAGCCTGGAGCTTGTCTCAGATTCTGTGTCTCTCCTCTCTCTGCCTCTCCACCACTTGTGCTCTCTCTCTCTCTCAAAAATAAATAAAATGTAAAAAAATAAAGGATGTTTACACTGTTTGTCAGAAACAGTGAGCCAGGTGTCTAACATCCAAGGTCCTGGCAAAAGAATTCTTACTGCGTGAGTCCCCTTGAGTCAGATTTGCAAAAATGTGTAAAGGAACTCATCTATAACAAGTACAAAACCTAATACCCAAGCCAGGTATATGCAGTCTTCACTGGACTGATCCACCCATGCTGCTTACAGCTCTATCCATCTGTCTGTCACATGGATCACCTCATTGGCAGGTGAGAAATAAAATATTTCTGATGAATTCAAAAGTGACTCCTACTAATATTAAGACTGGTTTTACCCCTTTGAAAGTCAAACACTGAAGGTTAGTTCCTTATATTTTTCACATCACCTAATTTGAACTGTAATTCTGTTAGATATAAAAATAGAAAAAAATTAAAATTAGTTTTATGTTCCCTTCTGCATTGTTTCTTGATTTTATGGTAAAAAGTGCAGGGTACAAAGAACAAAGCTCCTAGGAATTAAAGGAACAGGGGTTTTAGCCATGTAAATCATAGAGTCCTAAAGTTAGAGAGAATCTCAGAGGTCCTTGGTTGAAGTTTTTCTTGATGTAGGAATCCCCTTTTCATCAGTCATCCTTGGCCTGACTGTATCAGTGAAGGGGCATTCACTGATTCAGTGAAAGGGTATGTCTTTCCATCCTTAGAGGGCTTTGATGGTAATGGAATTCTTCATGTGGAGTCACTTGTTTTCCTATAACTCACTAATTCTGTGCTGTTGAGTTATGTGGAATAAATTGAATCCCCTTTATACATAATTTAAAAGTTATTTTTATGGAGTGACTGGGTGGCTCTGTCAGTTAAGCGTCCAACTTCAGCTCAGGTCATGATTTCACAGTTCATGGGTTCAAGCCCCACATTGGACTCTGTGCCAACAGCTCAGAGCCTGGAGGCTGCTCCGGATTCTGTGTCTCCCTCTCTTTCTCTGCCCTTTACCCTCTCACACACACACTCCCTCTCTCTCTCTCAAAGATGAATCAACATTTTAAAAAATTAAAAAATAATAAAGGTTATTTGTATTATTCATTCATTCTTTTGTTTGTTTATTTATTGAGAGAGAGAGAGTGCACGAGCAGGGGAGGGGCAGAGAGAGAGGGAGAATCTCAAGCAGGTTCTGCACTGACAGCACAGAACCCAACGTGGGGCTTGAACTCATGAAACTGAGATCATGGCCTGAGCTGAAATTAAGAGTTGAATTCTCAACTGACTGAGTCACCCAGGTGCCACTACCTTACACAGAGTTTATACTCTTACATTGGAAAAATATATATCTTGGCCTTCATGCAGTATAGCATAGCAATTGAGAGCATAGGGATGTGAATCACTCAGAACCTGAGTTTGAGTTACATCACAGCATTTATGGGTGGTGTGACTTTAAGGCAAATTATTTATTTTCTCAGAATATTAGTTTCATATTTATAAAATGGCATGTCTAGTGCCTGCCTTATAATACTATTGGATGGCTTGAGTTTTATAATGAACATAAAGGCCACAATACAGTGCTCTGGAGTCAGAGACTCCATATGCAACAATATATTCTCCATTTCCCTGTTGAGTGACCTTGGGAAAGTTGTTTTATCCCTTGGTGCATCTGCTTCCTCAAAAGATGTTGTGGCCCACTTCATGAGGTTATTGAAAGGTTAAATGTAAGCTGCTTAGATCCATGCCTGGCATATAGTAAGTAATCAATAAATATTTAATATTTATTAATAATTACTGATCTAATTATGTTAATTATAAAGCAACTAATAATTCATAATAATTAATACCATACTATTATTTACATATTACTGGCACCTGGTTCTTTTATCTACAACTAGACATTCAGCAGGTATGATATCTGGAGTAATTTGTTATATAGCAATAGATAACCAAATACAGCATCCTAATTGGACTTCCCACACCCACTCTTGCTGTCCTTCACACTGCAGCCAAAATTTGCAGATTTACTAACACATAAGTCTGATTATTACTTAGCCCTTTTCAATGACTTTCCATTGCCTCATTATAAAACCCAATGTTCCCAACATTTGCTCAAAGATCCTTTTTGATTGACTTTCCAACCTAATCTACTACCATTTCTCTCTTTGGACTTTGTATTCCCCCAGGGAATCCTTTTCAGTTTCTCCTGGCCCCATGTTCCTTCTCACCTCCATGCTTTTGCACTTGCTGTGTCACCTGCCAGAAGCTTCCTTTATCTTTACCCTTTACATGGTTACCTAATTGACATCTTTTGTGTTTTACCTTAATTATCACTCCTCAACGAAATCTTCCTTTTCTGACCCAGCCCTATAGACCAGGTTAAGAGCTGCTCTTCTTACTTCCATAGCACCCTGTAATTTCTCTATTATAGCACTGGTTTTAGTATGAAGATTTCTTTGCTTATTTTTTACTCTTTCAGCTTGAAGGTCTGTGATGTCAGGGACTCTCTACTCTGCTCCTTGTTCTTCCCTCAGCACCTAGCACAGGCCAGGAACATAGAAGGAGCTCACTGAATAGCTGTTGAATGGGTAAAGTTTAGTTTCTTCCCAAGGGGTAATTGGTTGTTTAAGTATTTTATGGACACCTCAAACTCAACTTGTCCTGTACTGATAGAGACCTGAGCCTTCAAGTTTTAGTTGGCTAGGTCTCTCTGTGACTTTCTCCCCTCAACTTCAACTACAGGGGAGCTATAGTCTTTGGGTAAGGTAGTATTGGAAATAAGACAGAATATTCTGGATAGAAAAAAGTGCCTCCCCTTTCCTGTGAAATACTGAACGTTGTTTGAGGGGAATGACAGAGAGTGGTAGTCTCTGACCATTTTCCACCACCAAGAAGGGACTTTTCATTTCTACAACATTCCAGGCCCACTGAGGCAGAGAATGCCAAATGAGATATCTGACCAGAAGTGCAGTTTCAACAAATACTTTCCTTTCTTCAGGATTTTTTATTTCATGAGAAGTTGGTCTAAGTTGTGGCTTATGTGGAGGACTTGGAGTATGTGAAATAGTACCAGTTCTGAAGTTAATCTGAAGTTAAAGTTAATCTTCCAATAAAACTCTACCAGCAAGTCATGGTGGCCAGCATTTATAAACCAGAATAAACAATTTCCACAATATGTGACACTTAATGAAGATTGCTAGGGACAGTGCAATTGGGATTTTATATGGAGTGTTAATATTTTATGTACTTATAAGAACAGCTGATAATTAACATACAAGCAGATCCAAAATTGTGTGTGTTGAGGCTGAACCAGATTACTTATGTGTGAGGCAGGTCACCCTGTGTTGTGCCTTGATTATTTTCCAAATACAAATAACCCTCAATGTGTAGATGCACTGGATCTGACACTTAGCCTTGTCTATGTCATAAAAGAGTTTATGAAACACATTAAAGAGATGGCACAATGTTGCTATGTTGTAGATAGCAAAGGCATGGGCAGGGTGATGGGGAAGGATTACCACTACTGATTAGGTTATGAAAGAAAGCTGGCCTATGACATGGTCTACAATTTCTGGTAATTAGGGGATATGTGGGAGTGTTGATCAACTTTGCCTTTCTGAGTAAAATGTAGATGTGTGTGCCCAGAAGATACAGCTGGTCTCAATATAATGTAGAACAATTTCCTGTTAACATGGACAACCTTCATTTGAATATGCAGATATAATCTTAATAATAATGATTACAGTTTTTATTCCACCCATCTATTAATTTGTTAATTCATTCAATATTAGATTTTTACTAAATATTAAAATAACACATGATGATTAACTGTACGCATTAGTCAGCATAGGCTAAGTTAAAAAAAAATG